AGAAGAGCAGTATGACACAGAGAACACACAGGAGGTGACAGTCAGTGCTGTGGTCAGACTGTAGAGGTATGTGAGGGATACCAGCAGCAGACAGATCTGTGGAGATACCATCACCATGTAGAGCAGGGGATAGCAAATAGCCATGTAGCGGTCATAGGCCATTACAGCTAGCATGAAAGTCTCAGCCACAATAAAGACTAAGAACCCACCCAGTTGGGCTGCACATCCATAGTAGGATATGGTCTTCGTTGAAACCAAGAAGTTAACCAGCATTTTCGGGGCAATGACAGTAGAATCGCCAAGATTGATGATAGCCAAGTGCTTGAGGAAGAAGTACATGGGGGTTTGAAGCTGAGAGTCAACACTGGTGAGGGTGATGATGCCCAGGTTCCCTGCCACGGTCAACCCATAGATCACCAGGAAAACAAAGAAGAGTGGAATCTGGAGCTCTGGGCGGTCTGAGACTCCCATGAGAATGAAATCAGTCACCGGGGTGAGATTCCCTGAGGCCATGTATTCGGTGGCTTTCATCTTTTAATGGATAAAATGGAAGTGGATTAACAGATGGTAAAATTTATTGTAAACTATTTCATTTAAATTAGATCATTTTTGTTAGTAATCAAAAGTGTTAAATTTTAATTGTATTTCTCGCAATGTTTGAACAAAATTCAGAAATACAAACTCTCCAGTAACCAATTTCAGATTGTTAAAACTGTTGTACCAGGCTATTCATTTTTTCCCATTCCATGTTGGATATAATTTAATTTAGCTAAGTATACATTAATCTACTATATCATATGTATGAATATTTATATGCATATTTAAACATTAATTATCATATTGCATGCATATAAATATTTAAACATGCACACACATGCTTTTTTGTATGTTTTCAATGATAAAAGATAGGTACATAGAAGAAGTTAGGCAGCTGGGTGGCTCAGTCGGTTAAGTGCCCAATTCCTGATTTCGGCTCAAGTCATGACCTTACCGTGTGTGAGATCGAGTCCCGCATGGAGCTTTGCGCTGATAGCCCAGAGCCTGCTTGGGATTCTCTCACTCTCTCTACCTCCCTCCCTTTCTCTCTGTCTCAAAGTACATAAATACACAAACAAAAAAAGTTGATGAGCCAGGATCACTTTCAGTGACCTTCAGTTATTTTTTCCTTAGCTGCCACTGGCTTTCTTTTCAGCCCATTCCTGATCATCATTGTTGGGAATGTCAATATTTCCGTGGGAAAAATTTTGAGTCAGCTGGGATTTTCCTTATCAGTTTCTACCACACCACGCTGCAACTCACCAACACACTGCACCTCAGTAGTGTTCCTTCTTGGTGTCATTCAGAAACTGATTTTTGAACTTAATCACATTTTCTTTCTTCTGCCAAATAAACTAGTCCTTTCTATCACTCTGACTACTATCTGCTCAGACGCTTCTCTAATATATTGTGTTCTGACTGCCATTTCTTTTTTTCTAGCTTATACCACTCTCCTCTGAATTTTTTAAAACCTGTTTTGACATCTTAAAATATTACTTATAGATTTTATTTGCTCAACGTTTATCACTTTGTTTTACCTGTACAGAGAAATGTGTGGAGAGGTGTGTTAACATTATTCAATATGTAGTATGCTCTGAGCCCAGAGCTATGCTACCCATTTCAAAATAACGATCTCATTATTCTGCAGGAGTGTCCTACCAGATGGATGTAATTAATTCTATGTCTGATGAGATACTTGAAGCTCAATGAGATTAAGTCATGCAAAGAGTCTGTGTAGAATGTTGATTAATGTTGTGGTTTTAGAGTTTTGCTTTACGTGTTTTATTTGCTTTTTTGGTTACTTCATTGGTTGGATATTAGCCCACCAATTACTAGCTGTGTGATTTTTATCAAGTGTTTATATGCTTGTGTTGTGTGAAACTACGGGATAATATACAAACATGAGATAGTACAGAGCCTGATAACAAAGAATGCAAAGTAATTGGTACCACATTTATTGTTATTAGCATGTTTTGAACAATTTTCTTTCTTTTTTTTCTTTTCTTTTTTCTTTTCTTTTCTTCTCTTTTCTTTTCTTTTCCTTTCCTTCCCTTCCCTTCCCTCTCTTTCTTTCTTTCTTTCTTTCTTTCTTTCTTCTTTCTTTTTTTTTCTTTTTTAGAGAGCACGATTGGGAGAGGGACACGGAGAGGGAGAGAGAGAATCCCAAGCAGGCTGTATGCCATCAGCAACTGCCTGATGCAGAATTCGAAATCATGAACCTTAAGATCATGACCTGAGTCAAAATCAAGAGTTAGATGTCCAACCAACTGAGCCACCCAGGAATCCCTGTTTTGAACAAGTTTCTGATGTGGATTCATGTTTGCATCCCAGTAACTCATTCAGCCTCACTGGGGAGTTCATAGTTGAAATAGGATTAGGAATAGCAAATGAATTATAATCTTGCATATCCAAACAACTGGGACATGTGCAATCTAGCTATATATTTAACAAACAAATCAGGTTGCGTTCTCCCACAAACCGATTCTCTTTTAATACTGTGGTGTTATTTTTATCATATATCAAATATATGTCCGATGAGCTTATCCAACTCTGTTGCACTAGATATCCCATATCTCTTTTCTCCTACCATTGAATTCAAAAAGAAATTCACAGATAAGTTTATGATTTAAAAAATCATTGTAGCAAGGCTCACTTTAGAAAAAGTCATTTTCTGAATAAAGTATTTCAGTTAATGTTTCAGTCTGAGATATAATATACTCAATAAATATATCCTTATTTTACAAAAGTAAAAAAAAATCAACAACAGGAATTACAGATTGGGTACTATGAACATGTGCAATCAGCTTTTGAAAAGGATTTATTTGCATATACATTTACCTATTAATTTTATTTTCTACTGAAATATTAACTAACGGCAAAGCTAGGGTTGCTTTTTATTTTGGTAAGTACATGCCACAATAAAAGTTATTTTGATTTTTACATACAGTTCTTTTCAAGTATGTTTCTGAAAAGAGATATTTTATAGTTTTATCCAAACAATAAATTCTCAGGGAAAAAATAAAGCTTTCAAAATATACTTGTTGTTCATCACTTTATGGTACAATTGGGCTGAGAAACATTATTCCATATTAGTTTTTAAATAGCTACTGAAGTGATTTCGGAATATATTCCGTTGTTTTCTCACTATAGAAATTTGTCTTAAAATTATTTAAACATGGACCATGTTAGGGATACACCATGTCTTCTTATGAGCTCTCAGGGCTCAGTAACAACATCGGTAACAACATCAGTAATGCCTGTTGACATTAGGGAATCTTTCCTTCATGGGGTTTGTCACCCTGGGAGATGTAAAAATCATGAAGGAGACAAACTTGTGTTTCTTGATGCTAAGCAATGTAGGAGGTCTTTCTCAGAGGGGAAAAAATTATCTTTCAAAGACACTTAAGAAGTTTCCTAAGTGGTGTAGAGTTCCTTCTAGTACATTAATTCTACCAGTTGTAAGGCAGAAAGCACTCCTCTGTAACCTAAGGTGAAATACAGTCCTCCTAATGACTACTGTTTATTCTGTACAAATGCTCACACGGTCCAATTTATCAACAGAGATTCTGGATACCATTGTTTGAGTCATTTCCCTGTCCCTTCCACTTGGCCATCAGTGGGCAGAGATTAGAGTCTTCAGGAAAAGAGAGTAGAGCAGGTATCACTTCAGTCCCAGGTCTGATTGGAATCAGTAAAGCTCCCAAGATACTTGGTCTTCACATTCAGAGTGAGCACTACGTAAATTGTTAGGCTGAACCTACCTGTGTGCAGAGATCTGCTGAGACCCACTTCTAAGGTTCCGCAGGAGGTGCTTTGAAGAGTGTTACAAGTGTCTGAAGTCCCTGAAGGCCCGCACAGTAAATAAGCTTGTTTATGGCTCCAGTCTCCACGCTTGAACACAGGAATTCCCACGTGAAGTGACTCCTCAGGGAAAGAAAGAGCAAGTACCCAAGGCTCCACACAACAATTGCACCCTCAGAGTGAAAATGTGGGGTTAGCCTAGGAACACAAGTGGGTTATCATACTGATTAACAATCACATGCAATGATTCCACCCTTGGTGTGTTTATTTGTTTTGAATTGTCCCCTGTATTGGTTGGAAGTATGGCTGTTGGCTGTGGGGTGGAGAAAATCCAACAGTTAGAAAGCACAGGATTCTAGCCCTAGTGTTGCATTTTACTGTGAATGTTCAGAATGGAACAGAGTGCAAAGCCTCCATTCTGGTGTCAGGAACAACCCTGATGTATTTGCCATAAAACCAGATGATAAACAGCATGCATTCAAAACATGCATCATTGCAAAGACTGAATACCAATTGTTTTATTGAACTTTATAAGGCACCCCATCATATACCTGATCCTACTGCTGGGTTTTGATTAAAAATAACTGATGGAAACTTCATTTTTCATGTAATCTTGTGATCTCTCCTCATGCATGTAAGATACTGTAGTCAAATATTGGTAACATTTTTATTTTACTGTTTGTGTGGGATTTTCTAGTCTGTAAGCTTTTAAGTGAAAAGGGTATATCTAAATAATTTGCCTTTGTATTAATAGCTTCTAAAATAATACCCAGGAAAGAGTAGGTGTTGCTGACTTACTCCCTGATGGAGTGAATCATGAATAGGTGAATGAGTGAATATAAGATCCATCTTAGAATTCTGAAATAAAGTATGAGGGTGTTTGGGGTTTTTTTTGTTTTTTGTTTGTTTTGTTTGTTTGTTTGTTTTAGTGGCATACTCTAATGTGATTTTCACTTTGGTGAAGAAACAGTTGCAAATTGCAGATCATTCTCTAGAATATTCGCTACTTTAGGGCAGGACGCACTGATCCTTCTTCACCCTGGCATATTCTAGGCTCTACAGTTATTGAAGTAACAGACAAATTCTGGACCATAAAGAGGAAACAACAAAGATTTTTATACATCTGAAGTTATTCATGATAATGAATTTCAACCTTTGAGGGTCTTTACAGAGTCCAAGTACCCACAAGAGGGCTGTGTGCTTCCTCTCTAATGACATTTGTCAATTGTCTGTCATGTGACCACAGAGAGTCTGTACCCTGCTCAGTTAATGATGCTTTCACTCCCTTATCAGCTCTGCCAACCTCCCCATCTATTTAGCATTCCCACATTGTTGTAAAATATAAAAATTGTTTACTTTTACATGTTGCATTGTTACTAATGCATTATATTATAGTTTGATCTGTCAATCACACTTAGTATTTATTACACAAGAGGTATTGTCCATTTCCTAAGTTGTGAGTACAATATATAAACATACTTTGGTCAAGCAGATAAAATTCTAAGACAGGACCATTCTGAATCATAAAATTTCCTTTCAAGGTACTTGTAAGAAACATAAATACACACATCTACATACATATACATACACAAACTTATATATGTACAAGAAATTATATTATAGACACCATAGTTCCATTCTTCACTTTAAATGATAGTATTTTTCTTATATGATTC